CGTTTGTCTTAATGCCTAGCTCCATTTTACTTCACATGACTTCTATAAATAACATCTAGTTAACACTTCTCTCTTGACCTTTAATTTTTTTAATTTCTAGTATGCGAGTAGAGGTGATAAGGATACCTTTTTAAAATAGTGTTTCGAAGAAGAATTTTATGTGTCATTATCTTATATGCAATCTGTTATGGAAGTATTTCATTCAATTGCATTCTTAGTTTTCTTAGTAATGAATTACTATCACGACAAAGTTGATTACTTCGGTTAGGTTGCTACTATCATTATCCAACTTCACAATTACGGTGCAGATATATGCAGAAATGATTGGAAATGTCATGATAGATGCGCGTTCAACAGGAAAATACTATCACTGTAAGTACATAAGTTGCAGACGACTAGGGATACACTTCATATATTCCTAACTTTGAGAATATAGCACGTGTTTTCTTCTAAATAAAATTTTAATATTAACTATCAATAACATTATTTGTGATCTTTTTCTTATGCTATTTATGGTTTCTCTAGTTGTACGGCTTATGGGTCGTGCTGCATCACACATCACATTGGAGTGTGCTCTACAGACGCATCCGAACATTACCATCATCGGTGAAGAGGTAATTGTTTGCCAAGTCGTTGACATGGTTTTCATGCATGTATGCAACATATTCTACTTAATATGTGTCCAAAACTTAAAGAGAGAATTCAATCTTTTCCTAGATTGCATTACCAATACGCAGTTTTCTGAGAAGAACTGTTCTGTTGGATGAATCTATTATGAAAACTATGCTTTTTTCATGAAGTAAATTCTTTCAAGAGGCTATCTGTAACTACATGCGAAGTTTATGGTATTACTTCTGGTAATAGAGTTATTTTAATGTCCTAGATTATTGTACATCCCACTCATATTTCAGTTACTTGTAAGTACCTATTCCACTGCCTCAATTATGAGGCACATATTGTTAACTTGCCTGAAGTTTGAATCTTCACTTTTCCCATTTGACTTTGTAAAAGCTGCTCTCATAAGATGGACTTAATACCAGCAAAAGGTGTTGGTCTTAATTAGAAGAGGATAAACCTAACTTCTAACGTTATTTCACATGATGCCATTGGTCATTCTTTTCTTCTGTTAGTCATTTTATTGTTTTCTTTTATCCATTTCTTTTGTTTCTGGGGAGGAACTTGGCGTATTGCTGTCCCAGTAGAGTATGTTTTCTTAAAGAGCCAATGAAAAAAATTTGAAGTAATGGGAATCGGATTATTTCCTGAAGTTCAATTCAATTCAGGGAGTTTATCTTAATTTTTATACATACCATGTCTAAGGTAAATACTTTAATATTACCACTAATACTACTAGGTAGGGACGTCAGTGCATGTAATCCAGATGATTCAGACAATTAAAATTTCATTTCCATGGTTTATGAAGATTATTTTATAATGAGGAACGTGTTAAGTATGAAAGTTAGAATTATTATCCTTTTAGGAAGTGTTTTGTGATTCCTCCCCAATATTTACAAAGGTTTCATTTTACTACAGGTCGCAGCTCAGAAGCAAACACTTAAAAGTGTTACAGATTATATCGTAGGAGTAATCTGCAAACGTGCAAAACTTGGCTATAATTATGGGGTTATACTAATACCCGAAGGCTTGATTGACTTCATCCCAGAGGTTTTAACTTTCAACTGTAGAAATCACGATTCCCACTCAATTTCTAATTTTTATAACTTCTGATCATGGTTGCCTCCATTTCGTTCAGTTCTCCTTTAAGCTTGTTCATCTTTTGCATCTGATTCAGTTGAGTCGTCTATTATCATGAACAGAGAAGCAATATCTTGTTAAGATTATGTCTCTTCTTTCCAGGTGCAACAGTTGATTGCAGAGCTCAATGAAATACTGGCTAATGATGTTATTGATGAAGCTGGCAATTGGAAAAAGAAGCTCAGAAGCCAGTCTCATGAGCTCTTCGAATTCCTACCACAAGCAATTCAGGAGCAGTTACTTCTTGAAAGAGATCCACATGGAAATGTCCAGGTACTCTTCTTCTTTTCGACGAAAGTTTGGCAAAATAGGATAATTGCTCATTTAGTCAAGTCATGCTATGTTCTTTCTCTTCTGATACACTTTCTTATTGCAAAATCTACAGGTTGCCAAAATAGAAACCGAGAAAATGCTAATTCAAATGGTGGAAGCTGAACTGGAGAACAAGAGGAAGGAAAGTTCATATACCAAACATTTTAAAGGGCAGTCTCATTTTTTCGGGTAATTGATACAACTTCAATTTGACTTATGCAGTTCTGCTTTAATAACCTATAATTTGTAAAGTGCTTAGTACCTCACTTTCTTAAGTTTATCCTGATAGTAGTTGTTATTTGTCTGTGTTTGCTTTATAGTTATGAGGGCAGATGTGGTTTGCCTTCAAATTTTGACTCCAACTATTGCTATGCATTGGGTTATGGGGCTGGAGCACTTCTTCATTCAGGGAAAACAGGCTTGATTTCCTCTGTCGGTGTTCCCATGTCTCCTTATTTCTAACTATCTTTTATGTTATAGCATCAGAACCTTTGGTTAATTGCAATTTATACTGAGACCCTTGTATATTTAGGTGGGGAATTTGGGAGCTCCAGTTGAAGATTGGACTGTCGGTGGAACAGCACTAACATCATTAATGGATGTGGAAAGGAGACATGGTATCAACCTCCTCCCTCACTTGTTCTCTATATATGGTGTATTCTCCCTGTTGATAAGCAAAGGTCTTAGCTTGATGAAGTTTTAAGCGCCTGGTTGTGCTGCTCAGACTCTTGCTCTTCTCTTAGGAGAGATTTAGCTGAATACCCTAGTACAAACTGGTTTGAATTTGTCTATTCTGGAGCATCTATTTTAGTCATTTCAAGACATCTATATAGACATTTCTCACCCAAGGACAAGTGCCTTACTTTTCTATTCTATATTGCAACCATCAACCAAGAAAAATGAATTACTAATAAAGAGCAGATAGATATTTCCTTAACTATAATAAAGTAAAAGTAAAAGTACCCAGTTTAAAATCATATGAAAAGCTACACCTAGTTCAACTCGTATGCTTGAGATTCTGAGTTTGAAGGATTGTCAACCCTTGCTTATATGAAGAGATAGTAACCAATTTATATAGACAAGGTCTTGGAGTTTTGGAGCCACAGATCAAATTACTGGTAGTTAGCTCGATGAAATGGCGAACCTCTCTGCAGAAGCAGATCTAGAATGTAGAGTTAGTACATAGTTCGAAGTTCTGTCTGGCATGAGGAGCAAATGCCACTGTTGTTTAACTTTATATAGTAATAGATTCTCAGATATATAAATACACAAGTTCGGAATGGAAACCAGTGGGTTTAGACTAACCTCTGTTTAGACCTGTCTTGTTTTATGAGGGGAATAGGTTTTTCGCTGAGATTCTGTACTGCATTTGCGATGAAGTGATCAAATTTTGCAGGTAAATTCAAGCCTGTGATTAAGAAGGCAATGGTGGAATTAGAAGGTAAAAGCTCCTTTACCTAAAAGCCATATGTTACCTGTTACTTTAGTAGATCAATCATTTTTCGTGTAATTTTTGAGTGGTTAAAGCTTCACAGTTGTATAAGCATTTGTCAATCCCCAGGTGCTCCTTTCAAAAAATTTGCTTCCTTGCGAGAAGAGTGGGCTCTAAAGAATCGATACTTTAGCCCTGGTATGTCATTAAAATTGGTTTTAACCACTTCTTAAGTTTTCAATATTCCTATTTGAAAAGGCATGTTTTGGCCACAACTTTGACATTTTCTTCCACATACAAAGCATAATTAGACTATTGATGACGTTAATACGAAATTTCATGCTCATGTGTGATTCCTTTTTTTATCTGGCACAATCTTTACTGAGTATAGTAGCCAATATATCCTCCTCTCTAATACACCTATACCTTACAAGTAACAGATTCACTGCAATGAACCATCATTGAGTACATCAAGCGAAAAACCATAACTATATTAACGACTATCTTCTCTGGTTATCCTGTTGATACTTTTTCTACCTTTCTTGTACAACTAAAGTACATTGATCTCAGCGACGACTCCCCCATTTACGCAATTTTGCTCAGATTGATTTGTAATTCAGCATAGGTGCTCCTTGATTTGTGTTTAACTGTGCTCCCTTTTGCTTGTTTATTTTTGAGCAGGTCCACTTCAATTTGTCGGCCCAACATCAAATGAAATCAATCACACTTTAATGCTGGAGTTGGGAGCCAAAGCTTAAGTCATTCCCAAATCTGATCTAGAGCTTTCTGTTCCTTGGATATCTTCATCAAAACGCATTCATCCCATATAGGAGATGGACTCAGAATGGCAAACAAATTGCTTAATATCAGCACATGCTGGTTATCTCCCAGGGAATTATTCTTATTTTTCAAGGAGAAAAAAGTTGTTCACATTGTTCATCATTATTTTTTGAGGCAAATTGTTTTAGTCCTGTTGTAGATTTATGGTCTCTATACTAGCAGCTAGCACATTTCTGAAGCTAAGGTTAAAAAGAGATAATCTTCTCTTAAGGTTAAATCCTTATCAATATTGCCATTGGAATTTGTGTTCCCTGATGAACCGGCAGCCGAAGTGTATACACTACTAGCTTAAATTGCTAGTATTCTCTTCTTCTCAAAAGAATAACACTAGTTACCATTACTATCAAAGGAAACAGTCTTTCTTTATCGTTACTCTCCAAAAATTTGATACCCATTTCAACAATTTGTGATATGCATTACTTTTTCATGAATGTTTGTTGATCCTCAAACTCATAAAGTGATGTGCATTACTTTCTAGTTTTTGCGAAGACTCGGTAAAAACTCCATATATACTTGCAAATATCTTTGAGAAATCGTGAAACATTAACAGAGACCCCATACCAATAAATTTATATTAAATGTAACAGCGCCCCGTGATGGGAGGAAATATTAGACTGTCTTAATCCTAGTAATTTTGGACTCTGTAGTTTTGTAATTAAAAAATGCCTATTTAATATGTGATATCCAGGAAATGTTATGCAGTCAACATGGAGGAAGATATATGTAATTCACCTATATAAAAAAAAATAATAATAATAAACTGAGCTTACCGTACAAGTCGTATCCTTTTTTCTAGGAGCATATAGTAGTCACTTTGGAGATTTATTACTACTATTAAGGAAACAAAAATGAAGGAAAGTTTGATACAGTTTTCACGAAGAGTTGTAAGACTCCCAAACATTCTAAATGGGCGATTGTATTGCTCTCGTCCTTCAGCTTCTTCCCTGCCTCCCAATAACAAGCTCTTCGTCGCTGGTATTATTAATCCTCTTTAATCAAATAACTATAACTTCAACTTGGTTACAGCTCATGTTGTTATATATTATATATCAGTTTTATCATATTGTAAATTACTTACAGGTTTGTCATGGTCTGTGGATGAGAAGTCGCTCAACGATGCATTCTCTTCTTTCGGGCAAGTAACAGAAGGTAATACAGATTGCTAATAATTGGTATATATATGTTGTACTTTACCTTTTTGATAAAATGCCCCAATGGGTTTAGCTCTTTATGAAATGTAACTGCCTTGTGAAATTCTTTGCTAAGTACTTTAAATGAAGATAAATTCATGTGAAACTTATTGGTTGATGGAGATTGAGCGTCAAATTATGAGTGTAATGTGTGTAAAAGATTTTAACATCAACCCAAAATTCTAGGCTGTGGTTTGCGCAAGTTCAAGAACTATCTTCTGCAGGCAACACATGAATATGAGGAGCCCAGCCAACTATAAAAGTAGTGGAGTAGCAAATGGTTTATGGGGTTTTCACATCCTTCAAACAAACATGAGGCAGCCATTGACAGGAAATTTTGTTTGTCCTCTACTATCCTTTCTTGATTTACCTTTCCATGTTGCCTCTGGAACACAGTTGTTAGAGATTATTCAATTGGAACTCACTCTTGGGTGAGTAGAAACTCACACCCTAGAGCCCATTTCGTGATGACGCTCCTGACAAACTTTCTCCGCCTTAACCCTACTAGAGAAAAAATTGACCAGCTCATCAATCAATCATGTGCAATCTTGAGAATGTTCTTCCAAAGTAGGTATGTTATCACCCCTGATACTGCTTCACTCAAAAGTATATACTGGGATGAAGGATGTTTATTGCAGAGTTTGTAATGGCTAACTATCAAATTGTTTAAAATTGCAGCCACTCAAGTCTCCTTAACAATTAGACAGTAACATTGGATTGCATGATACTGATTGTCAAGATTCTTTTTCTTTTTTCCTTTTCTTTTAACATACATGCACATTCCCACATATTTCTGAGCTGAACCTAAATTGCCTGAACATCTGCGTTTTCATGTGTCTAGTGAGAATAATGTATGATAAAGAAACTGGCCGATCAAGAGGGTTTGGATTTGTTCACTTCTCAAAAGACGAAGAGGCCAACTGTGCAAAAGATGCGATGGATGGAAAGGTGAGGTGACGACTATAGACTGTGATATTTCCTTTCAGCCTCGTCAGAATGGCATGGAACTTGGAATTGACATTATTTTTTCTTTCAGGCATTTCTAGGTCGCCCTTTGAGGGTAAGCTTCGCCCTTGAAAAGGTTCGTGGTGCACCTGTTGTTGTCCCTCGACTTACAGGCGTTGGAAATGGTGATAATAAGACTCGTTGAATTCTTGTTTTGGAAGTGATAATAAGACTCGTTGAATTCTTGTTTTGGAAGTGTCCTGGCATTGAAGAGTGATTTTCTGCTGCATCTTCTTTTACTTGAGCGAATATACCATGTGTTACTGGATCAATTTACCACTACGGACGCTTAACAAAAGGTGCTTATTGTATTCAAAAGCTACCAGGAAATAAAGGTAGTCCTAAGATGGTCTTGTGGGAATTCACTTTATGTTAATTTGAGTTGTACTTGTTATACATACTAGAAAATACAATGAGAAATCTTACGCTGCAACCAGGAAACTGTTGCAGTTTTCTTTGTTTGATCCTCTTGTTGTCTGGCAGTGCTAAGATCCTAATTTCATTCAGAATGTTGATATACAAAGTACATCTAATTATGAATTGTAAGTTATATAAACTCCATATTTAGCTCAATACAGTCCTACTTTTTTCACTGACAAAACTGTATTTAATTTGCTTTAGATGCCTTAGTCTCATTAAAGTAAGATATTACATCTCTTTTAAGTCCTCACCCATTAAAAAAGTAGTCTTTACCATAAAATTATGTCTTGTTACACATTCATTAGATACTAATAAGTTGACATAAGTTCCTCGATTCTGTCTGTGGTAAAGAATTATATTCACTTAAGTTAAATTGGCTGAACTGCTTTTTATTTGTTGGTAAAAACAATTAGGTGGATTAGCTTAACCTAATTACCTAATAGCCAATAGGTCACTTTGGAGCAGCACCACCACCACCACCAACAACAACAACAACATACATACCCAGTGTATTCCCATAAATAGGGTCTAGAGAGGGTAGAGTGTACGCAGACATTACCCCTGCCTTTAAAGGTAGAGGTGATATTTCCGGAAAACCCTCGGCTCAAGAAGGGGAGAGGAGAGGGGGCAATAACAAGCAAACCAATCTGACAACCATAGTAAAAATAAAAATAAAATACAAACCTAGCAAAAGATAATGCAATCAAAAAACCAAAACACAAGACAACAACAAGTAGTAACATGAGACTAGGGATAAAAAAAAAACACTCGGAACGTCAACCACAAACAAAGGATGGCCAGGTCGACAACCTAATAGTACAAACAAGTACAAAGTCTACCACCTAACCCTTTACCTTAATTCTCAGTCTCCACACCTTCCTATCCATGATCATGTCCTCAGTGAGCTAGAGCAACGCCATATCTTGCCTAATCACCTCTCCCCAATACTTCTTCGGCCTACCTCTACCTCTTCGTCGATCCTCCTATATCAGCCTCTCAGGCCTCCTCACCGGAGCATCAGAGCCCCTCTTCTTCACATGCCCGAACCATCTAAGTCTCGTCTCTCGCATCTTGTCCTCCACAGGGGTCTCCCCCAACTTGTCTCTAATAACTTCATTTCTAATTTTGTTTAACCTGGTATGCCCGCACCTCAACATCCTCATCTCCGCCACCCTTATCTTCTGGACATGGCATGCCTTGACCGGCCAACACTCTGCCCCATACAGCATAGTCGGTATGACCACCGCTCTATAGAATTTACCTTTAAGTTTTTGTGGCACATTCTTATCCCACAAAACACTGGAAGCGAGCCTCCATTTCATCCACCCCGCCCTAATACGGTGTGTGAGATCCTCATCAATCTCCTCATTCCCTTGTATAATAAACCCAAGGTACTTGAAACTTCCTCTTTGGAATGACTTGTGACTCAAGCCTCACATCTTCGTCCTCTTCCTGAGTCGCGCCACTGAATTTGCACTCCACATATTCTGTTTTGGTCCTGCTCAATTTGAAACCTTTAGACTCTAAAATCTATCTCCAAACCTCCAACCTCTCTTTAACACCACAACGTGTCTCGTCAATCAGTACAATGTCATTTGCAAGCAACATGCACTACGACACTTCCTCTTGTATGTGACGCGCCAGCCCATCGATCGACAGGGCAAACAGAAATGGGCTGAGAGCTGACCCCTGATGCAGCTCCATCACAACCGGGAAGTGTTCCGAGTCCCCATCACAATAGGTCACTTTGGAGCAAAACATTAAAATACAAAATAGTAATTGAGGGTACCAAATTATGTTTAGCTTTTGAAAAATAGCCGGAGCTTCTAAAATGATTTTACATTCTAATTTTAAATTTAAATAAAGTTGCCTCCTCATTCAATATTTTAATTAATTAAACATACCATCTTGCATTGCATTCCTAAAATATTTTGTGCACTGCTAGATATTTTAACTTGACACCATATTATGTGAAACCTTATTTTCTAAAACATTCAGGCACATTAATTTGCAAAAGTAAAATAAATTAATTGACTTATCTATGAATCCTTCACTAACTCCAATCTCTATACGACTATACGTTTAAAAATAAATATCCTAAATAGAAATCACTAATTAAGAAAAAACTTTCTCTTCTTATTTATTTATTTATATTAACGATTTTACTTTTCTTCCCTTACAAGTCATAATAAATCCAATTATAAAGAGACTCGAACTCTCCAAGTCATAAACCTCTAACTTTGGCTGAAGAAAGGAATATATACCGAATTCTGCCTCTACATACTAGTACTCCTAGTAGAAGCAGAAGGAGAGAAAGACGAAGAAGCAACAGCAGAAAAAGATGGAAAATCAAGCAAATCTCACCGCCGATCCACAAAGAGAAGCACTCGTCAATACATTCTGTGAAATTACTTCTGCTTCAAAACCCGAAGCCCTTTTCTTCCTCGAAAGCCACAACTTCGATTTGGATTCCGCCGTCTCCACTTTCTTCGAGAACAATTCCCTCCCCGCCGCTGCCGCTGCCGCCGCTGACTACGACGATGACGCCCCTGCTTTGGCCGCTGCTAACCTTGTTGCTGCCCAACGCCGTTCGCCGTCGCGCTCCCGATCCCCATCTCCGCCTCGACCTAGAAACCCTCCTACCTCTAGCAGCGCTGCTGCTGCTGGGCGGAGAACTGGTGGAATTCACACTTTCTCTGATCTGAATCGTCGGCCTGTTACCGGTTCTGGTAGTGACTCCGATGAGCCTCAAGAGTATTATACCGGTGGAGAAAAAAGGTATTACTGCTACTGCTGCTGCTACTTTACTATTGGTTTTCTACTGCTTCTTTCATATTTAGTAATAAAGTAATTGTCTTTATGTTGTACTTCTGTTTTTTATTAAATATTGGAGAAAGTGTTTGAGTATGATAATTTTGAATTTAGTATTGGAGAAATTTGAGGCAATAATTCGAGGAATATGTGAAAACATCACCTTGACCATGCAGTAGGCTACCTGCATCCTCCCACTAGCCACTAGGTACCTGGTGACTTCACCTACCAATGCTTAGGTGGATTAGAACAAAATCATTTTTTTTTTGCCTTTTCTAGGATTTGGTTCCTAGTCTTCCATGATCTTCATTCCACCTCATTGGCTGCTATGCCACACCCTTGGGTACCTTGCATGATGTATCTTGAAATCATAATGTTGCATTATATAGTTGCTTATCATTATCAATGTAACATGTTTGCGCTTTGTAAATTTTTGTTCGAAGCCAATGGACCCTTGGCCTATTAGTTAAAGAAGGAGGTATTTTGTTGAAGTATGGGGTCAGGTCTAATTTATGGGTTCAATATGCTTTTCCTGCTAGTGTGTCCTATATGCTACATGTTTTCGCCACTTGGTGGTGTAAATAATTGGAAATATCCTATCCCCATGGCTTAATCAAGTGTCAAGGTTGAGGGACTACAGGACTAATGACCTTAGGTCACAAGTTTGAGTCCCGCACCATGCGAACTAAGCCTGGTATTTAAGTGGAGAAGGCTGCGGTTGGTCCTAATGGTTGGGCCCAAACAGATTGCTCGGTCATCAAATAAATAAATAAATAAATAACTATTAGAAGTATTCCTACGATTACGATGTCGTGAAATTTCACGATTTAGGTTGAGGTTGGGTTTAAAGGGCTCTATGATTTGTTCATGTATTTAAGTACTTCTAAATTTTTTGGAATATGAAAGATTAAGCATGCAGTTCTGTTATCTAAAAATTTATACATGCAGTGCTGTATAAGGATTTGTTTCTGGTCCATGAGCATATGTAGATCATTTTAACTACAGGTTCTCGCTTCATCTTTCACTGTATTACATCATCCAATTTCTTGTTCTGTTGTTGTGAGACGGAGAATGCAAACATCTTAAATGCATAGTTCTTGGTTCTTAAGATGTTCTGTTACATGGATACACTTGAATACTATTCAGCCTTGTATTGTGGAGATGCAGTGTGCACTTTCATTAGTAATTTGCTGATTAAAGTCTTTTTGTAGTGGAATGCTTGTTCAAGATCCATCTAAAGCAAATAACGTGGATGCAATATTCGATCAAGCTAGACAATATGCAGCTGTTGAAGCACCTCCTGCATCTTCTGGCTCTAGAAGCTTTTCTGGAACTGCTAGAAGACTTACGGGTGAGACTGTGTCCGCTGCTCCTCAGCCACCTGAGAGTATTACTCATGTTATCACTTTCTGGACCAATGGGTTCACTATAGATGAAGGGCCCTTGCGGAGGTTCGATGATCCAGAAAATGCCTCTTTCTTAGAGGTAATGTCAATCTTGATTTTACCTTTTGAACGTTACCTGTAGTTCTTCATCTTTGTGGTTTTATATTCACTATACAGAACGGTTCTCTTCAGCTGAGTTCAACTAAACTTCCGTTTGTTAAAGTAGGGTTTCATAAAATTTGTGCCATTCTACTTTTTTAGTTGAAACTGATATGAACCATAAAATAACGAAAACTTAATCAATTCAACTTCGCAATTTAAAAATAAGCTATATCCCAATATTACCTTGTGCAAGAGATAGGTCTTTGGGCACAACTTGGATCTTGTAGTTTCAATAGTCAAAACCTCCATTTTAAACTAGTTAATGTGATGGCATTATTCAGACTATAGAACACAAAAACTTCACAAAAAAGAGATACTTTACACGGAGATCCACTCAAGGGTTTTATTAGGAATTACATATAGAAATGACCTTTGGAGTAGGCAGAGGACTCCTCGTGCTTACTGTTTATCTTGTACAACTCGAAATTTGTTCACTTATGAAGTATTGTGCATGTAGAAAATTGAAAAAAGAGGCACGTTGTAGGTTCCAAAAAGCAGTCTTTACATTATGCTGGCTTCTCCTACTCCGTCAGCTATATGCCTACTTCCTGTAGCTATGTGTGAGAACTGAATTCATGGTTTCCCTCATAAAAAACCCTCCCACAAAACACCCCTTACATTTTGTTTGCTTTCAAGCGCTTCAGGCTCGGACCTCTAGTTATACATAAATGTTATGGTCCTAATCG